GGTTTTTTTTTTTTTTTTTTTTTTTTTTTTTTTTTTTTTTTTTTTTTTTTTTTTTTGTGTGTGTGTGTAGATTTCTGTTTAAATTTTCTCTTGTTGTCATGTTGACTGAATGGACTGAAAAACTACATACTTGTTTGTGTCTTAGCCTTGAATCTGTTTATTCCTAGTGATATTTCTGATAAGAAAGGGAGAAATGGCTCTAATGTCATGTATGGTATCTTGACAGTGTTGTAATCATCCCTATATTCTGGAACCTTCAATGGGACATGTGATCACCAAGGGGCATCCAGAAGTGGATTACTTGGATATTGGAATAAAAGCAAGTGGTAAGCTACAACTTCTTGATGCAATGCTAAGGGAGATGAAAAAAAAAGGCTCGAGAGTCCTAATTCTTTTCCAGGTAAGTCCTATGGTTGAATTGGTAATTTTTGTTTTTGAGGTTAATAGCTTTTGAGATAGGTGCTTATTAATATATCTGAAGGGATGGAATGTGGAATTCAGGCTTATTATTATTATTATTATTTATTTATTTAAAAAAAAAGAAACTGATCTGGCATTGAACTTACTTAATGCACGAGTTTAGATGACCATAGGATTGTATTATTATGATTGAAACTGTAATCAAAATGAACAGCTTTTATTAGTTAAGTGAAGGATCGCTAACAAGAGCCAGGATAGTAATATGGTACAATTCTGGTGTACGGAGAACAGATTTGTCAGAGACTTTGAACGAAACTACTCCTGGAGGGAGTGAATTAAAAAAAATAAAAATAAAAAGAAGCAAAATTAAGGAGTTATTAGAACCTTCTAATTTATGCAAATAATCCTGCAAAGAGAAATGGAGAGTAATTTAGAAAGAGAATACCATTGCAAAACTTACAATCTAGCCATTAAAAATCGTTTTAGACCATTTGATAATCAATCTGGTTTTATATTTTTCGTTTTCCTGTTTTCTATTTTTTAGAAAATGAGAGAGAGAGAGACGAATTTTTTTATACAATGGGAGTTCGATACATCACGTTTTTTGAGATTTAGTTCACCTTCAGATGGATACAGTTTTCATTCTACACAATAAAATTTTTATTTGTCTGGGTCTAAAATTAAGTGCTTAAATCAATATTTTTGTTTCAAGATTTCCCTCTCTCCCTCCCATTATTTTCTTATCTGTGGATTTGTTAAGTGGTATAATTCATTTTATATTTTTGTGAGGGAAATTTTATGTGGAAATATTCAATTGCAGTCAATTTGTGGATCTGGAAGGGACACCATTGGTGATATTTTAGATGACTTTTTGCGTCAGAGGTTTGGGATTGATTCTTATGAACGCATTGATGGGGGTCTTATTTATTCCAAAAAGCAAGCTGCTCTAAACAAATTTAACAACCTAGAGAGTGGAAGATTTTTGTTTCTGCTAGAAGTTCGAGCATGCCTCCCAAGTATTAAACTTTCGTCAGTTGACAGCATTATCATTTATGATAGTGACTGGACCCCAATGAATGATTTAAGAGCACTTCAGAGGATAACACTTGATTCTCAGTTGGAGCAGATAAAAATTTTCCGCTTATATTCATCTTGTACTGTTGAAGAAAAGGTTCTTATGCTGTCCTTGCAAAATAAAACTTTGGAGGGAAATTTACAGAACATCAGCTGGAGTTGTGCTAATATGCTGCTAATGTGGGGAGCATCTAATTTATTCGCCGACTTAGATAAGTTCCTTGACAAGGATAAAACTGCAGATTCCTTATCAGATACAGCATTTTTGGAAGAAGTGGTAAATGATTTGGTTTTACTTATTTCACAAAATGCCAGAAGCACAGACGAATTTGATTCCCATGTCATATTAAAAGTTCAACAGATTGAAGGAGTCTATTGTGCACACTCTCCAATTCTAGGTCAGTCAAAAATGCCATCAACAGAAGAGCAACCTCTCATATTTTGGTCTAAACTGCTTGATGGAAAGCACCCGAAATGGAAATATTCTTCAGATAGATCTTTAAGGAACCGGAAAAGGGTTCAACAGTGTGATGATTCATCATGCAAATCTAAATCGGAGATTGAGGAATCTTTGAGGAAACGTAAAAAGGTGTCAAATAGCAATGTAAAAGTTGCACAAGATGAATACTTAACTAACAAGGAAAAAGAAGGTATGAGTATCTGAAATCTTAAATTATTTTTTGCGTATACTTTCTAGGCTTTTCTTTGGGGCTTCATCGTGTTGTCTGTCTGCTAGAAAAGATAATTTTACAGCATTCATACTTTCCTATTTCCGGCATTCCTAAACTTCTTTCTTGTGTGCAGATACTTCTGAAGCTCCAAAACATACATGCCAAAATTCAACTAGTTTAGCTGCTTGTGAGGATGATTCATACATTGAGAATCATCTGTCCAAATCATCTTTGACAGCTAATGATATCTCAAAAATTCTTGACTATAAGTCAGTTGGATTTGATGCAGTAAGAAAGCTGATTGATCTACGAAAGAGTCTCCATCATCTTTTGAAGCCTGAAATATCTCAGTTATGCCAGATTTTGAAATTTCCAGTATGGGTCTAATTACCTTCTTTATTTGTCTAAATCTATCTATGCATTTTATATCGTAGATGCCGACCCTCTTCAAGACAGCAGTGTATTTTTCTCTTTTCCTTCTACAACATAGCCACATCAGTAGATGTAGTCAGATCTACGTTAATATTGTATTTTACATGTGAGATAGCTATGTTCATTGATATTGCTGTTAGTTAGTTTACCATACTACTATCTTAATTAATGTCAAAGATACAACTCACGGAGGGAGAGAAAAAAAAAAAAAAAAAGA